AAATAAATGAGGGCCTAGATGTTCAAGATTAACTAAGGTCTAAGGACCAAGTAGTGGAATCTTAGATTTAAATGTCAGGAACATTGCCCATTTGTTACATGATCTTAGACAACAAATAATCTCCCGAAACTTTAATATACTCAAAATGGGCATTTTTCATTTTTCTAACTTTACATTCAGAAAATTTTTATGCCCACTAATGTTAAGGCTTTATCTTTCACAAGTGTCTTTAAATAACCAAGAATTTTATTTAGAAAAAGGTTGAAATCAGTTTTTTTCTGTACAATTATCATTTTTTTCTCATGTCATCCTTAAATATACTTCACCCAATAATAAATACTTTTTTTTTTTATAAAATCATTCAGTCTTAACAACTGGAATAGCAAGTCCCATGCATTCTCCCATGTCAGGAGTATATCTTTCTTGGATTCTAACCAATACAGCTTTTAAAACAACTTGGTCCAGTTCCAAAATTAATCTGGGATTTTAACTGTAAGATAAAATGGAGTTTAGGGAGAGCTGATTTCACATTACAAGTTCTAATTAAATATAATGTTCCCAATGTGTTTAAACATAATGTTCCAATTAATAAATTTTAATTATGTTCTTCATAGTTATCACACTGGACTCAATTTTCATCTTCTGAGACTATTGCATAAAACATCTTTTTAAAATTACTTTGTGTTGTTGCTTGTAATTTATTTCCAGTATTGGAAATAAAAAAGATCAATCTATATTGATGTTTTTTCCCAGTAGTTTATTCCTAAATTGTTTTCCAAGTAACCACAGAGTTTGTAATTTTCTTCCTTTACAAGGTAAACATTTTTCTTTTCCTTCCAAAACTGTACTTCCTAGTCTCAGTATAGGTAGATTAAGAAGTGGTGTTAAAGATATCCTTGCCTTTCTGACACAAACGGGATGATCTCACTTAACTGTTAGGTAGAATACTGGATGAGGAAATGTAATAAAGGGGGGGGGGGATGCTTCGATCACCTTTGACCCCTATGTTCAGAGAGGACAAAAAAAAAAGAATCGAGGAAGAAGAGAATGGGAAGTAATCAGGCTTAATCACTTAACTTCCCGTTAGTCGTCGATTTGCTCGAGCGGGCGCCAGTAACGTCTCCATTTGTCCCTGCCGCGTGCTAGTGTAGCCCAATGGCATCTTTTCGCTCCGGGAACATGAAGGGCCTCAAACCGATCATTCATGATCTTGACGAAGAAGTCTGACCATCTGGTAGGTGGGCGGCCACGTGGTCTTTTGACATCCCGTGGAACCCAGTCGGTAACAGCTCTAGTCCAGCGGTTGTCTTTAAATCTCATTATGTGACCAGCCCATCTGATTTTCGACACCTTGGCAAATGAGACAGCGTCCCTGATTCTTGATTGTTGACGGATGTCAGAACTCCAGATTCTTTCTCTCATTTGAGTGAAACGTGATATTCCAAGCATAGCTTTTTCTATTCTTCTTTGAGAGACCCGAATAGCGTTCTCATCCTGTTTGCATAGGGCCCAGGTCTCTGAGGCATATGTTAATGCAGGAAGAACAGTGGAATCAAAGAGATGTGCCCGGACCCGGAGGTTCTTCGTCCTCTTAGCTATTTCTTCGACGTTCTTGAAAGCGTTCCAAGCCGCTCTCTTCCTCCTGCGCAGCTCGGGTGCCAGGTCATTTGTCATGTTGACCTCTCGACCTAGGTACACATAGCTGTTGCACTCGGAGATGGTCGTTCCATTGAGTGAATGGGGCGTCAGGAACAAGGCTGTTTCTCATAAACATTGTCTTCGTAAGATTCAGCTGTAGTCCTACCTTTCCACACTCAAGGTCAAAGTCGGCCAGCATTTGTGCGGCTTGGCTGATGTTTGGTGTTATTAAAACAATGTCATCAGCAAAGCGGAGGTGGTGTAGTTGCCGACCATCTATCTTCACTCCCATTCCTTCCCATTCCAGTCGTCGCATGATGTTCTCGAGGGTGGCACTGAAGAGTTTCGGTGAAATGGTATCACCCTGCCGCACCCCTCTCTTGACATCAACGATCACTTCTTTGTAGAATGGTGAGATCCTGGTAGTGAATCCGCAATACAGCTCACGGAGGATCCTGATGTATTGGGCTTGAATGCCCTGATTGGCTAGGGCTTCAATGACCGCTTCTGTCTCAACAGAATCAAAGGCCTTCTTTAAATCAATGAACGTTAAACAGAGCGGCATCTTGAACTCCCGAGAAACCTCAATGAGCTTGGTTATTGTGTGGATATGGTCGATGGTGCTGAATCCTTTGCGGAACCCTGCTTGCTCGCATGGTTGACCTTCATCTAGTGTTCTGCCAATCCTATTTAGGATGACTCGAGTGAACAACTTGTAGATGACAGACAATAGGCAGATCGGGCGATAGTTGCCAATGTCATGGATGTCTCCCTTCTTGAACAGTAGTACGGTCCTGCTGGTTTTCCATTGGGACGGAACCTTGCATTCAGACAGGTAGCGAGTGAAGAGCCGAGCCAGTGTATTGATGAGTACTGACGGCAGGTTCTTCAGGTGTTCAGGTCTGACCTTGTCTGGGCTGGGTGCTCTTTGATTCTTTACCGACGAAATGGCGTGACACATACCCTAGTTTTTACCCCCAATGGGATATACAAAACTATGTCCATATAATACATGAATTGTCCATATTTCCAAGCAACAGTCAAGTGAAACATCAGACCAAATAACCTTTTTTTCAGTGCTACCTACTTTCTGGTCATTAAAAGTTCTTCCATTGCAACTTACCACTTGGAAGATCTTCCTTTCTTTCCAACGCTATGACTTCCACAATTTGTACATGCTGAAACCCTAGTGCTCCTAGTGACTACTTTGAGATATGGTCATTAGGAGTTCAAGTTCAAGAAGAACACAGAGGTCCTGATACAGTAGGATGTTGGCCACCTGCAGGCTGCACTAGAAACCATCAATGCTGGGCCCTGGTCTCAGGCATGAACTGCCAGAATTGAGACCCCAAGTATCTGTTGTTTAACCTCAATGTCATTTAGATATGGCAACCTGAACAGCAAGCATCGATGATGCACTAAAGACTGTTGTATTGAGGATCTGAGTATTAAACTTTTTGGTTTTGTGGTCCAGCAATGCTCAGCAGTTACTCCTGGATCTGCACTCAAGTATTACTCCTGGTGGTCCTCAGGTGACAATCCGGGGATGCTGAGGATTGAACCTGGGTTGGCCACATGCAAGACAAACACCCTGCCTTCTGTACTATCGCTTCAGCCCCTAGGATATGATTATAGAGGTCAGAAGCTGCAGACTTAGTATGTTCCCTGCCAGGGGACACAAAAGAGCAATAATTTCTGCCCTCAGGCAGCGTTCCTTACATTAATAGGGGGCTGTGAAACATAAAAACTACAAGTTAAAATTTAGCTATTTTGGAGTGCCTGCCTATATTCACTCTTTTTAAGGCTAACTGCTAAGATTTTATGTATATTTTATGTCCCAGTACTCCATCCAAACTCAGAATGAGAGGGAGATTTAAAACCTGAAGGGTTATGGGAATAATGAAGGTAAGTTATACCTGTTTACAAAAGAAGGTCAAAGAAGAAAGGCTAAGAGTAAACAATGGGTCATACATGGAGATAAAGGTAAGAAAAAATGAATTTTTAAGAAATAGGTTTAATGGGGCTGGAGTGATAGCACTGTGGGTAGGGCGTTTGCCATGCACGCGGCCAACCCAGGTTCAAATCCCAGCATCCCATATGGTCCCCTGAGCACCGCCAGAGATAATTCCTGAGTGCAGAGCCAGGAGTGACCCCTGTGCATCGCCGGGTGTGACCCAAAAAGAAAAAAAAAAGAAATAGGTTTAATGTAAAACACAGTATGTGGCTAAACAAGGTGATTTATTTGTGTCGACCAAGAAGTTCAGATGTTGACTGTATGGTGGATGTGCAGTTACCACAGCCCCGAGGCTTCCTGCTTCCATTGTGGAGATACTGTCTATGGCCCCAACATCCACCAGAGATTCGGCCATCACATCTCCATTTCAGGTGAGGAAAGAGTCAGATGAGGGTCTGGAAAAGCAGAGATTGATCTGCCCAACAGCTCCCTGGCGAGCCCTGTTTTAAAGCCCCCTGAGATCCCCTAACTGCACAGGAGATAGAGAACGCTGAACTGTGCCCACCGAGAGCATCACCTCCAACGAAATGAGTTCTGTAAAGGCAGAATAAGCCATGAGTGCTCGGGGGTCTCCACCAGGCTTTTCGTCTTTTGTGTTCTAGGATGCTCTGACACACCAGGGCCTGGCAGGAATCACCTCCCTGCCAAGGACACATAATTCCCAGAGGTCACGGCAATGCCCAGGGGCACGACAGATATGCAAAACCACCAATCCCAAACCCATCTATGCCCCATCCCCTTCCTTTCAGCCACTCCGACATTCTTCCCTGGTCCAAATCACCCAAAGTTAGGGCCATTGACAGCTGAAAATTATCCAAACCATGCAGTCCTATACTCAGTGTGTTCCACTTCCTCATGGGACTGTCCTCCTGAAACTCGGCCAACAGATTCCCCCATTTCTTTCCTCCACCCCTGTGGTACTGCCGGGCACTGAACTGGAAGCAGCACTTCTGCCTGTCACCTCATCTGATAAAACAAATCCTGGGTATCCCCTAATACACCAGAATCTTCCTCACAATATGGCCTTCCACCACAGAAAGTTAGAAACCTGGCAACATCTGTGAGTTCATAAAACTAATGGGGTGTTTGGAAGAAAATTCAATCTTCTCTCAACAATTCTGTGCTCTGAACTCATGAATCACCACCATGACCAGTATAAGCTAGAAACTCTACAATGATGCCTTTGCCATATCATGAACCCAGAAGCTCCCAATCTCTGGACTTCTTCTTGAGAACCAACCCTAAGAAATGTAAAACCAGTAACAGATGATAGACAGGAGGGACTCAGGTTGATGCCCAGAATGGAAATGAAAGTGCTAATCCAGAAAAACATGACCACTCATTTCATATAAAAGAAACATTTTAATTTTTGTCCTTAGAAATTTTTGATACTACACATTATACATGATTTAGGAATAAAACTGTACCAAGTAGTGTTCACAGATGAATCGTCCAAACTATTCCTTTTCTTTTGTCTGGTCACTCAGAAAAATTATGTTATCTGTAAAGAAGCCAAAGCATAAATATTACTTTTAGACGTATTCTTTTAATCCGCTCTAATACAGATCTGCTTTGTGCTGTTTACGGAAAAGATTTTAAACACAATCTCAAAGCACTAACTCTTGCTCTGTTTATGAGAGGCAAATACAATGCCAGGCAAATACAGAAAGTGGGTTTCATCTTTTTGCCTGACAATTTGGATTTTGCTAAAGAGAACGGGTGTGTCTTGTCTTCCCCAAAGACAGTTAAAGTCTTTCAGCAACAAACACTTTCTGCAAAAGAATGTCACACATCTGAATGCTTGCAGAAGCCAAGAGATGCCTTTCACATCACCAGACGTGGCGTGGGCACGGAGTAAAGGACCACAGCATCACCTCCACATGCCAGAGGCACAGAGAACAGGGCAGGGCAGCACAAGCCACCAGCCAAGATGTACGTCTGCTCTGAAATAAGTCAGGATGCTCAGAGGGAAGACATCTCCTTTTCCTGCTTAAAACAATGATTCCTATATTCTTTCTCAGGAAGACTTTCACTAATCAGTAATATGATACAGAGTGAGCATTTCTACCCAAGAACATCAGTTACTGCTCTACAAATGGTGTCCCAGGCAGAGCAGGTTAAGACAAGCTGTTACTTCTCTCAAGTGGGTTAGAACAAGTACCACTATTGCACTCAAACGTTCTTCAACTTTTTTAGACTGTCCACCAGCATCTGTCCTACATATTGGTCCCACAATTGACTTAGTCACAACTAACCAAGGTGGTAAACTAGTCATTTTCAAACTCTCGACGCCTAAGGACTGACCAGGAGTGGTCTGTGGATCAGCGTCAAAGGTCACTGCACTATCTACATACTCATGACTTCCAGGTTATTCAAAAAGGGGAAATAATGCTTATTGAAAACTACAGTCTCTTGAGAATTCAGAAGCGGTATCAGAACTGACTCACTGGCATAACTGGGGGGGTGGGGGGGGGGAAGCAGAAAGACATGACCTATCAAACAGCAGACCAACCAAACTAAACTCTAGTTCTTTCCGTCAAAGTCACTCAGGATTCATTCATTTTTACTATTAACCAGATATCTTCATCAATCATCAATTGCTCTGTTATTCACACTAGTGGACACTAGTGACATAAAAAAAAAAAAAAACCCTAAAATGGCAAGTAATCTGAAATGCTTCAATATGGCTTGGTTCACATAATACCATCATTACTTTCATCTCTAAGGTTCCTCAATGTTTAAATCCACAAGAACAAAAACACTTATGCTTAACAAATATTAACTCAATAGCTGAAAGAGCAGCACCCGTCTTTCTGGGCCTGCGAGAGCTCAATAGGCTGAACAGACACGGTTTGCCAGCAGGAGACTGGCATCGCTCTGTTCACCAGCACCGTGGGAGCCATCCCGAGCCCTGAGCTAGGGAGCAGTGAGCACTGCTGGGTGTGCACCCCCCACCAAAAAAAGGTAAACTAACACTTTTTAATGTTTTACTCAATTATATATAAAAAAAAAACAGCCTATATCCCAATCAAGAAAAAAATGTAACAAACATAACATTGACCATCTTACTGTCACAAAATTCGTTTAATTTGGGGGGCCACACCGACAGTTTTTATTCTGGGGGAGCACCTGGCCCAGAAGTGCTCGAGAGTCCAGGGAACCATTCAAGTGATATGAGCCTGTCCCCACCCCAGCAGAATCGATTCCTTGGGCAGGCTGGAAACATACAGCGAGTACTCCCATGGCCACACTCTACAAAAACAAGGGAGGGAAGGGCGCCAGGATCAAACTCAAACCTCACAACATCTCTGAGCTGTCTCTCCCTTGCCCTACAATCAGAGATTAGAGGGCGAGGGGGAGGGGAAGTATTGGGTTTAGGGGTCATGCCCGGTATTCTCAGGGGCTATTCTCAGCTCTCTGCTCAGGAGTAGACCCTCAAGGTACTTGGTGAACCATATGGAATGTCAGCCACATCAAAGCAAGCACCTTACCTCCTGGACTCTCTCTCCAGCCCTACAATCAAAGTTTTTAAAAGCACTCTTATATTTGGGCCAAGGATGAGTGGCCCTAAATTCAATTCCCAGCACTAAGTCAGAGAGACAGCACAGAAGAGTGAGGCACTTGCCTTGCACGTAATCCCAATTTAAACTTCCAGTACTATGTAGGGTCCCCTAAGGGCCAGCCCAGCCCAGAGCCACTAGGAATCCTTGAGCACTGCCAAGTAAGGAACAAAAACAATTCATAGCACCACCATCAATACCTAAAAAAGTTTATATATGTATCTGTTTTTAAAAATTCTATTATGTATTTTTAGTACATTTATAATTAGATGTATAAAAATATTCTTTACATTTTTGAGGGGAAAAGTGGAATGGAAAGTAAGTTCAGAGAAAACAGAAACTTACAATTTCCCAGTGTGGAAGAGCTTACTCATATTTTTGTTTCAAGAGGATCAGTATCAAAGTAGCATTAGATAATTTCATTGTAATGTTTAAGAGCATTGTAATACACTGAGAGGAGGGGAAAGAGTGTTGTCTAGCTGAAGATGACCAGATTCCTGCAAAATTTTCAAAACCCTTGGAGAGCTGTCCTGTAGGGGTGTCTCACCCTTCACTAAGTATCAGGGGTCTATCTTTCCTACATTCTTATTTTGTTTACCAGGAAAGGAAATTTAGAACAAAATCATTCTGGTAAGTACCAAACGGGCTCTGCAAACCTCTGCACAAATGTCTAACACCAACCACATCAATGACAAGAGCTTGTGCCCTTACACCACAGGCCTTAAAGCCTCAGCTCAGGTTTCCTGACTCCCAGCCGCACATACTGCCACAGACTGTTCAACTTACATTCAATTCAAAAGGTGCCTGTGCCCTAAAAATACACATGGAAATGATTTCCTAACTGAATAAACATGTCAGACTCCGAATCCTGCTGAGCTGCCTTATGGTCTCATTCCGTCTGTGCTTGTGACATTACTGAAGAGTCGAGCCCTGCAAACCAGAGAGGAGGAAGACAGAGGAGCAAGAGTCACATCCACTTACCGGCTATAATGGTCGTTGCTTGTCGCCTCACGTTATTTTTATCTGTGTATTCACCATAGTCTACTTTCCCTTCCACAAAAATTCGAGACCTGTTATAAATAAAACTTTTCGTTGTCAGTACAGAGATTTGTCTTTTGTTTTATTTTCTGTCTGGGGGCCACACCCAGCAGAGCTCCGCAGATACTCCAAGCTCAATGCTCAGTGGTTGCTCCTGGCAGTGCACAGGGGACCGAACCCAGACTCCAGCATGCCAAGCATGTGCCCCAGCCTCAGAGCTATTTCCTAGGACTATCTGTCTGGAAGCTTTAATATACTCTATAGGAAAGTCAGCTTAGGGTTTACTATGACTCAGGATGTTATATATACTCTCAATAATTTCAAATCTCAGCACCACATGGAACCCCTCCCCCAAACACCACCGAGAGTGGCCCAGCCACTTAAAATACTACAACGAGTACATTTCTAGATGTACGAACTATGAGTACAACACTGTTCAACCCAGTCTTCTGCCTGCCGGGGGATGGCACACATATCCCAAAAGGGAACTACAAAGTCTGTGTATAATCAGGAACCCCAGAACAAAACTGTGAATCCCAGCAGCCAACCCGGTGCGCCAGACTGGGTGAGAGCAGCTCCCAGCATGGGCTGTGCCCGCTCAGCAGGGACTTTCCACCTCACCGTCCTACTTGACTCAGCTGCTTCCCTGTATGGACATTCACTGTCCTAAAGCCCAAGTTCTTAAAAGGCTAAAACCTCATTTTCAACCCCTGTGAATCAGGTCCACAAAGCAATGTGCCAGGTATACATAGCAAATGCACTGAATAAATACCCCGAGGCAATAGAATACTACTCCGAAGCCCTCATTCCATGAGCATGCATGGTCAGTGTTACCAAACATACTATCTGGGAGCGTCTTCCATCCTCCACTTACCCCTTCTTCACATATTGATACGCCACATCTCTGAGGCCCGGCCGGAATACTGATATTCTGTGCCACGTTGTCTTCTGACTGACATCGCCTAAGTTACAGGAACAGAGATGTGGTTACTAATGCCAACAGACAAAACAGATGCCAAAGAGTGTGCCCAGCAAAACCTCACAGAAATAGAACCAAACAGGCTGTTTCTGAAATAAGCTCATCGATCTGTAGGCCCTGGCAGGAGCGAGTGAAAAGGCCGGGCGTCATACTCACCCATCTGGTAGGCTTCGTTGTCCCCCGACCGCCACATCTCATTTGTGGCTAGAGAAAATATCGTGACCGGGTTTTTCCCTTCCACCTGCCTCATTACGGGGTCCTGGCCCACCCGTCCAAGTAACTGCACACGATTCAGAGCTGCAACGCAATGTGGAGACAAAGTTAAGACTGAGGGAACGGGCAGAAGAGAAACAGCTGCAAATTTCAATTTCAACATCAGCAGCAAGACCCAGCTGACAGACAAACAGAAAGTAAGCTGAGGGAGAAAATGCGGGCAGGTAGGAAGGGAAAAAAAAAAATGCGTGACTGGCAAAACAGGAGAAAATATTTAGGGAAGCACCACAAAGCAAATATTAAGCGCTTTACTCCTCTCAAGTTCTCCCCCATCTCCAGCCCACCCAAATAGCTATATGGTTAAAACAAAACTATAATATAAAAATCTTGATTATCGGGGGCTGGAGCGATAGCACAGCGGGTAGGGTGTTTGCCTTGCACACGGCCAACCCGGGTTCAATTCCCAGCATCCCATATGGTCCCCTGAGTACCACCAGGAGTAATTCCTGAGTTGCAGAGCCAGGAGTAACCCCTGAGTATCACCAGGTGTGACCCAAAAATTAAAAAAAACAATCTTGATTATCAGAGCCAGAGAGGTAATATAGCCGGTAAAGTGCCTGCCTTGCATGCAGCTGACACAGGTTCAGTCCCCAACACCCCACACAGTTCCCTGAGCTTTGGCAGGAATGATCAATCCCTGAGCGCAGTCAGGAGTATGCCCTAAGCAGCATTAGATACGGCCCCAAAACAAAACAAACAAAAAACACATTCTGGGGATCATCTATAAGGGAAAAATACAACTTCCCGAAGTCACAGTACCAAATAGCACAGAACTCTGGAAAATTAGATAAGCAAATCAGTTCAGGGAAATTCTATGGCAGGATAGTGTCAAGTGAGTTAGAAGAAGGAAGGGAAAGGGGCCCAGTTGACAGTAGGTCCTGCCTCCTACCAGGGCAAAGATTAAAAAAAAAAAAATCCACAATCATGAGGCCAAGATGAGCCAAGTTGAGATGCTGAGAGCAGAACCCACCAGTGCCCCTCTTTCTGCAACACATCAAAGACGGCAGCACACGGCTGCAAAGAACCTACTTTCAGTGGGAACATCAGCTGATACTTACAGCGCTCAAGAACTAAGCTGCTCGCCACCTCAGACTGGTGTCTCACGAACTGGTGAAGTACCTGAAGGGGGAACACAAAGGGAAAGCAGCCTGGGTGGGGGATAAGGCTGAATGCAGGAAGGTTACCCCATATCTGGCAGCCACCTATGCAGTAACTGCCACAGCTCACATGCACAGTAAACTGAGGGGCGTGTCCCCCCAGCACCCAGCACCGAAGGACCATGCAAACACTAGGGAACCTGGGCAGAGGCCAGAGGCTCACAGGACATACTGGAAATCAAACCAAGAAAGTTTATGACAGTGTCCTCTCCTGCCTGTGTTTGCACACAAAGGGTAAGTCAAAGGTATCCTGGGGAAACCTCAACTTTTACAGACTAAAGGGAAAAGTTCATGATAAACAAATCTAGTTCAGTACCAGGTGACAATATAGAAGAGGAGGAGGTTCACCTTGCACGCGGCAAACCCAAGTTCAATCCTCAGCATCCCATCTGGTACCCCCAGGACCACAGGAGAAAGCCCTGAGTACTGCTGGGTGTGACCCCCAAAATAAAGCATATCTGGTTCCTGGATAAAGAATGAAGATGGGATTGTCCAGATGAGTCTGTCAGAGACAGAAGTCAGTGCCAAAGAGCAGCCTTCAAGTACGGTCACAGCACTCAGTACTGAAAACCTGATCATCTGTCCTCAGAGTAAGTCTCTAAGCAATGTACAACTGCCCTTACTTTGAAATTAGGAAAGAGAAGTGCAGAAAGATGAACCTGCCCCAGAGCATCAGGAAATACCTAACCAGTGATTCCTAGAACCCAGAGCTACTGGGCACCAGCACTGCTGCTTTTCCTATTCTCCTCAATCATCTCCCTTCATCCAGGGCTACTGCCAGATGTGAGCATACAGCCCTCGAGTCACAGTTCAGGGACCTAAGCATCACTTTAGAGAAATGTGCACCAAGAGACACCATTATGAGAAATCAGATGATCACCACACCCAGGTCACGCTCTCTGTGGAGTCCCCATCACTATGTCTCAGTGTGGAGGGTAAGAAAATATGCCCAGGGCCTAGAACAAGATACAGAAGTCAAGGCACTAGCCTTGCATACGAATAATCCCAGTTGGATCCTTACACGACATCCAGTCCTCAGCACTGCTATGAGTGACCCCTAAACACAGAGCTAGCAACAGCCCTTGAGCACCCCCAGTGTAGCCCACCATCCTAGCCCCCCAAGAAGAAAATATAAATATCTACGGCATACTGCTTAACAGAACTGTGCCATAGATTTAGAAATGAAGATTGCCCGGTCAGTCACAGTTCATGTTGACTTACAGAATCATCTATGCTGCCCCACTGGACACACAAGTAATAAGAAAAAGAGATTCTTTTTTTAATGAAGCTTTTATATTTGCCTTTAAAGATACTCAGACAGTAACATTTCCGTGTTGTAAAGGTAAAGGTAAAAGGTAAAGGCCCTCCCGTTGATCATTGATTTGTTCGAGCGGGCCCAGTAACGTCTCCATTGGAGACTTTGTTGTTACTGTGTTTGGCATATCAAATACATCACGGGTGGCTTGCCAGGCTTTGCCGTGCAGGCGAGATACTCTCGGTAGCTTGCCGGGCTCTCCGAGAGGGGCGGAGGAATCAAACTTGGGTCGGCCATGTTGGCTGCGTGCAAGGCAAACACCCTACCGCTGTGCTATCAGTATGTTACATTTTTAAATCAGGGATATAACTTGAATTCCCCAAATAAAAGTGGGTATCCAAGACTATATAGTCATTTCAAAGGTAGAGAGATGATTAAAAAGTCTTCATAAAGAAACTGTTTAGGGGGAGACAGGATCCAGGGTCCCAGCCTAAAATCAAGTGTAGGAGGGAGATGCTACAGAAATGCCAGAAAACCTGGTGCTCAACTGTGATGAAGAAAAGGCTGAGGTTAAGTGAAGGAATGAAGGTACGGAATAAGAAGAAACTCTTGGTATGTTTGGGAGTCAACCGAGACTTGGGTGATTCTCCTCAGGATAAAAAGATGGGGGGTGATGTGAAATAGGGGACCCACCGGCCTAGAGAATACCAGGGCTATGTATCCCATGCTCTTTAGTTATCGGTGAAGTGAAATGCTAACCTAGAGGCAAGACACCCGTTTCCCAAATAATGAACTTCACTAAACTCAAGATGAAACTTGCTAAGTATGCACCACTTACACAGGGGAAAATAGGTTGCCACCCCCAGCAAAAGAAAAATATAGGAAGGGTGGGGAGTAAAGGTCTTGAGCCTCTGCTTTCAAAAAAAAAAAGTAACAACTGTGTTTGATGACGTCCTGAGCGCTAAGGTGGAAAAAATGTTACCTGTAATACAGGTCTTCGAAACATGGTTTCTAATGTCTTTTCATGCAAATCTAATCTTTAGCCTTTTCCTGAAGAAGAAAAAATAAAAGATGAAATTAAATTCCACATCTTAAAGCAAGGGAACAGATTCACTAGCCCTGAATTCCCAACCCCATGCTTGGCTTCTGTCGCTGTTTCTTGCGGGGGTGGGCTGGGGCTCGACCCCAGAAGCTGATAAAAGCAAAGTGGGCGCTTTTCTGTCTACACTCCTTTGAGAAGTGTGCAGTCCATTCGGGACCCCCACACACTTCACCCCGTGCACAGGATCGGGGTCGCCTACACCCCAACCCCCACCCCTTAACTTCCTTGACTCCAACCCACTGCAAAAAATAAAAAATAAAAAAAATCTGAGTCCTTTGAGGACGCGTGTGCGTGTCCAATGACTTGCTAAAACAGTTCCGAACACGGAGGTTAAGGCTAGGTAAATATGAGAATTCCTGAAAAGATTTGCACCCGAAGCGGGCGGCTGCAAACACAACGGTTTTCCTCCCGGGGTGCAGAGACCCGGGAGGGCCCGGGGACGCGCCGCTGCCTCGGAGGGCGGAGCTCGGGCCCCACGCACAGGGAACGGGCCGCGGCACGTGCGCTGCAAAAAAAATATAATAATAATATTAAACGACGCGGCCGCTCGGCTGCACCCCGGGCGCCAGGCGCGCACACGGCCCCGCACGCGTACCTGCCGCCCCGGGGCCGCGCTCCGCTCCGCGCCGGGAATCACTTCCGGGGACTCCCGGGGCGCGAGGCTCGCGAGAAGAGGAAGAACCAGCGCGCCGCGCGCCGCAGAAATGCTTCCGGGCGGTCCGCGGGGGAAACCAGACCCCGAGCGCGGGGGTTCCGGCTCTCCCCGCGTCGCCGCGTTTGGGCCGCCTCCGGGTGCCCAAGGTGAGGAAGGTTCTGGCAGAAGGGAGCGAGCGAGACCCTGGGAAAACTGGAAGGTTCAGACTCCGAAATCGGAGAGGAGACTAGAAAAAGGACGAAAGCAGAAAAAGAAATTGAAATAGGAAAAAGGACGAAAATAGAATAAAAGAAATAGAAAGTAGAAATCAAAAAAAGGATGAAAATTTAAAAAAATCTAGAAAAAGGACGAAAATAGAAAAATAGGAAAAAGGACGAAAATAGAAAAAAGAAAATAGGGAAAAAAACAGAAAAAACAACACTAGGAAAATGGTCGAAAATAGAAAAAGAAATAGAAAGTAGAAATAGAAAAAAGAACGAAAATAGAAAAAATAGAAAACCTGAGTTTTTAGAATAAATAGAATAAATAAATAGAAAAAAATACGACCCGGGTTCGATTCCTCCGCCCCTCTCGGAGAGCGTGGCAAGCTATCGAAAGTATCTCGCCCGCATGGCAAAGCCTGGCAAGCTACCCACGAAGTATTCGATATGCCAAAAACAGTAACAACAAGCCTCACAATTTGTTGTGAGACGTTACTGGTGCCCACTCGAGCAAACTGATGAACAATGAGAGGACAGGGCTACAGTGCAGAAGAAAACCTAGAAAAAGAAATAGAAAGTAGAAATAGAAAAAAGGGACGAAACTAGAAATAAATAGAAAAAAAGATGAAAATAGAAAAAAAAACAAATAGTAAAAAGGACTAAAATAGGAAAGAATAGGAAAAAACTCGATAAAAGGGCAAAAATAGCTCAGAATTGTTGGGGGAGTAGCGGGGATGGCAGGAGGGCACCAAAAATTGGTTTTTAGATTAAATAATGCAATGTAAAGTCAAAGTTTATGCCCAAATTCTCAATGAACAAAATTAGAAAATTTTTCCAGTGCATTAAAGCAGTTGACGAGTTTTTGAAATTTTGAATAATATTAAACATTTAATGTCTTAGGTATTTTATATCAAAAACAGTATGATTTTACTTCCAGGGGCTTTAGTGGTAAAAGTTAAAACCCATTCATAATAATTTTGAAATCTTCTTTTTGCTTAGCGTGTGTCTGGCCTGTTTGTCTTCACAGCGTGTTCATCTTAAGCACTGTTCGTTAACTTAAAGTATCCTGATCTATATCTTGCTATGTGGTTCATTCTGGAATCTTCAATAATTGTTAATTCAGAAATGGTGTATTCAGGTGTCCTTCAGGTTTCTCAGCACCCTATCAATCCTTTAGTTATAATTATTTTGTTAAAAATTTTTTAAAGCAAGTTGACCCTTTCTGTGTGATTCAAGACCGAATTAGTTCATACTGAGATTTACTTTGTTTCAAGTTTATGGTGGTAAGATGACCCTGGAACATCAACCCAGTGGTGTAAATATTTGACACTTTGATGTCTAATAAAGTTCCTAAGTGATCTTTAGGTTACAGAAACAGAACTTGGTAGTTATAGAGGAACAAAACTCTCCTTCTGGAAAATATGTCTCTGATACAGGTTGCAGGCAGGATGGATATCGCCCTTGAAAAAGTTATTACATCTTTCTGTGAGGGTGTCCTCCCCTTCTCCCTTGGCAGAGCTCATCTCTGCATCTGTTCAGCTGGGAAGGCAGAACGTCAATCTCCATGCCTTTTCTAACTGACTTCGGAATAACCCCCCTCACTGGCTCTCCCTTTCTTCCCCAAAAACCTCTGCTTTAGCTAATGTCTCAAAGTATATGGACGAGTTCCACAGCATGGCTGGGCCTCTCTCAAGTATTCAAAGGGTGTGTGTGTATAATTGATCAACTCCAGTGTTTTGCTCAGTCTGATGGTATTTCTAATTATTTCCAGCCTCTGAAGAATAGGAGGGGATGGGATGATCTTCAATCCAGAAAAGCTGAAACAGGCGGCTATTGATGGATCTGGAATGGAAAAGGATTAAACCTTATCCCAGTGAAGACTAGACCTTCATGCCCAGCGGTGTCTGTGCAGTTGTAGTTTGGGGACTTTCTGCTGCCATTTTAGCCAGCAAAGAGAATAATAATCTGGTAGTTTTTTCATTCAGATTCCTCAGGTGTTGAGGAGCTTGATGCAGGAGGGGTCGTAGACCAGAATAGTTGTCAGGGTCTGAGAAAACAAACCTGGCCAATGAATTCTGGCCTGTACATTGCATGATCTTAATATGCCAGTTTCCAGGTCTTAAATAACAGCTCCCCTAGTATTGTAAGGGACTTAATCAGAATGGGATAAGAGAGATGTTAACTGCATTTTAAAACCTTGAATAATAAGATGAATATTTTTAAAGTTGCAATGGGAAATACTGAGCGCTGTGCACCCCTTAATAACAAGGAGAGAATCATGAATGCCAAGATGCAACAAAGAATAGGATAGTTTATTCCATTTTTAAAATATTCTGTTTCTAAATATTAAAAGATAACAGCAGCAGAAGAGCCTCCAAACCATGAACAGGTTACCTTTGTTAGTATGACCCAACCCAAAATTAGCACATGCAATCATGGTCAACACTAGATTAAACTGGAATCTGACCTCTATTGGCTCTGGTGTCAGTGAAGCTGGGATGTGTCACCAAGCTCTGTTAGAACTGATTGAAGTCTCTTATCTACTTGAGAAATAGTTTCCAGCATTAGCTTCTCATCATTTGCTAATTACATATGACTAAGAGTGTTTTGCCCACATTTGACTTTGGACTAGGTTTTTAAAAACTTTATTTAAAAATATGTATATAGAGAGAAAAGGGATAAAAGAGGATTTTTTTAAAATTACAGGAACAAAGTCAGCTTCTGATAAAAAAAAAATTTTTTTTAAAAATCAAGGAGAAAGGGATGATGCCTCAGTCAACAGTAACAAGGGGCCAGTGAGGCAGATTGTGGAAAAACCACCGCATCCAATTTCCCTCCAACCCTTCAGCCCGTGTTTCTGTCCCTATGTTAATAGCCAGCTCAGCAGTTTCCAATTATGTGTTGTCTTGCTTCTCGGGAATGGTGACAGCGTTCCTCTGATAAGTAGCAGAGAGTGGGACCATCCCTGTTCAGAGAACCTGGGAGGAAAACCACTTGCTTGGAGCAGCAGGAAATTCCTGTGGGAAGCATTGATGAAAGGCACAGTTCCTTGTACAGCAGTTTCCCCAACTGAAAATGAGATCGTATTCCTTCCTCCACACGGGGGGGGGGGGGGGGTCCCCTGGGACCATTGGCAGGTCAGTGTTCCTCACACCTACAGGTGGGACCCAGGCTCCTTCCTTCAACTTATAGCAGGGCTTTCAGGGGACCCCTGTGAGTGGGAGCAGTGGACAAGAAATGGTCCCTGTCATTGTTCTTGGAACCATACTCATGGGAGCCCATCAGAAATTCAGATCATCATGGTTGGAAAGTCTAAGTGAACACTGACTTTTGCCATTGGTGGACTTGCTGGCCAGTTCCTCTCTGCTTCTAAGAGGACGGTTGATGGGGCAGGAGGCCATTTCCAGAAGCTCCAAGTAAGTGATGTGGGGATGAAGCGAGTTCACGGGGAAGAGCCCCCATAGGTGAAGCTGGAGGACTTCGCACTCTTGCCTCCCACCAGGCGTTTGCTGCTCCTTGATCCTGTCGTGGGGGTCCCGGACTCCCCTGGGTCACTGTGTCTATCCGTGGGTGACTGGGCCTGCTGGACATCTCTCAGCTCCCTGGCAGTGAAAGGAGAAATAAAGAACATGGGCATTACTGGACCTCAAGTTAGACTGAAGTATACTTAGCATCAACACTATCACAACTGTAGCTTTTTTTTCTTTTTAGCACTTCTAGAAACAAAGCTGGGCTACATACAGTAAAAATTCCTGTGATGTTCTTTAAAAAGTAGCTGCCAAACTTGGCAGGTTCAGCTTCCTAAATCCTATGGATGGGGCAGAAATATGCTTAAAATTAAACGTAAGGGCACATTTCTCTGGCTGTATATAAAAGGCACAAAGGTTTGTAAAGCAAAGTTTAAGGGTCCAATCTGATCTGCCACCTGTTTTGTAAAGATCTTTGGGGAGTATAGCATCAGATCCCTGTGGCATGTAGGCCTCAGCACTAAGTTCCAATGCCCATTATCAGTCTGACCTCTACTGATGCCTGTCCCCTGCCCCTCTGCTGAAGAAAACCTCCCTGGAGCTCAGCCATACCCACTTACACAAACACTGCCTGTGGCTGCATGCACGTTACTACTGAGGCGGAGGGTTGCAGCAGATCAGTCCATAAAGCATAAAGTATCTGCTCTCTAATTTCACACAGAAAAGCATGTCAGTCCCTAGTCCAGGCGACTCCCAGGCTCAGCTGCCCCTTCTCTAGGATGGATGCTCCTTACTGATCACAGCTGATGACAGCCACTTATGCCCACCGATGGCTTCACAGACACACCATTACCTTGTCAAGGTATACTGAGGCCTGGGAGAGAGCGCTCAGGGCTGGAGCATGGGGAGGCCCCAAGGTGTGATCTGCATGATCCCCTGAACAGCACCATATATATTTTTAGCTTTTTGTGGTCACACCTGGAGATACACAGGGGTTACTCCTGGCTTTGCACTCGGGAAATTACTCCTGGCGGTGCTCGGGGGACCATATGGGATGCTGGAAATAGAACCCTGGTCGGCCACATGCAAGTCAAACACCTTACTTTCTGTACTATCACTTCAGTCCTTTTTGAATTTCTTTTTTTCCCTTTTTGGGTCACATCTGGTGATGCTCAAGGGTTACTCCTGGCTCTGCACTCAGGAATTACTCCTGGCAGTGCTCAGGGGACCATATGGGATGGCGGGAATTGAACCAGGGTCGGGCGTTTGCAAGGCAAACACCCTACTCGCTGTACTATTGCTCCAGCCCTGAACAGCACAATATTGTGGGGCACAAGAACAACCTACACAGGCCAACACGGCATCACAGGGAATGATCTCCAGGTCTCATGAGCACCACTAGAGAGGCACCCCAAAATGTTGAAAGTGCTTATATTACTGATATAAGTACTCCTATCACTAAGACAACATATATCATTAGCTAGGAAAGTGGGATTTAAAAGTCGAGGGACAAATAAGTTGCTTACTAGGAAGAAATCACTTTGAGACATTTGTAGGGGGTGAAGAACCATACCCAACGATGTTCAGAGATCACTCCAGGTGAGACTCGAGGGACTCTATGCAGTGCCAGGGATCAAACCAGGGTGGCAGCTTGCATGCATACGTCTTAACTCCTGTGCTGCCTTGCCAGCTCTGACACTTCAAGCTAAGCTTTTCCAAGATAGATCATATGCCCAAAGGAAATTGGACTTCTGTGTTATTTTAGACAAGGACATTTATCATCTTGTTTTATATTTCAGTGGTTCCCAGCAGTCCCTTAACATTGCCTTAAGAATTGCCTGGGGACTGGAGCGATTGTACAGCAGGTAGGGTGTTTGCCTTGCACACGGCATAAATGTCTACATCTTTTCACACCTTAACTGTGGTTATCTTGCATTTGATGATCTTCTAGTTTTAGTGTGTGGTTTCACTCAGGATCCTACTGAATTTTCTTGACGACTTGTCATGCCTCACTTTCCTGACCCTCTATGAATTGGAAATTCTCAAACAGAATTCATGGAGCTTCCAGCCTTATGCTGCTGATTATGTGAATGGACCTGTTAATGTTCTGCTTGAACACAGAGAGGATACACCAGACTAAATCATACCACAGTACTGAGTACACCAAAAGATTTTTTCTTATTTATAACATCCAGACCCTACCTTTCCAGTGAGGCAGTCTTGAATTTTTCCAAATTAAGCTGCTTTTGGAGTTCTTCTGCTTGCCCCAGAGATGGTCGGAGAACTTGACTTCTGGACAGAGCGATTGCAGAAGGTCTCTTCACGGGATCAGGATGGAGCATGTCCTGATCATGTAGGAAGAACCAAAGGGAAGGAAACTCAAGACTAGTGGGAAAAAAGCCCAACCAACCCAACCCCAAGCCAGCTTCTGCTGGTGGATTTTGTGTAGCTTTGCTTCTCCTTGGTGCAGAGGAGGGTGAAAAAAAAAAATGAAAGGGAGATCCACCTAGAAAAGGTGGGTCACCCTGTCTGGTAACGCTGCTCGGTCATCCATATGCAAAGGCAGTTCAGTGTCATATTTTAGAGCACCTTGTATGATTCACATCTAATGACTTGAATTTTTTTCTATTTTTATTTTTGAGCCATACTTGGTGGTACTCAGCTTACTCCTGGATCTGTGCTCAATAATTCCTCCTGGTTCTATGCTCAAGGAACCATATGCAGTTCCAGCAACAAAACTAGGGTTGGTCGCATGCAAATCAAGCATTTTATTTTTTTTCAATTATAGTTAAACGTTTTCATAGAGCTAGACAAGACACTTCTTTGAGGTTGCTGCAAGTAAAAGGAATGCAAAATTGGTGACTCAGCTAATGTTCCTCTGGCGTTTAAACAAATTGCCATATTATCTAATAAGCTCCAATATCCAATAACAGGATGACAGACTACAACCTACAACTAGTGATAAGGAGAACAACAAAATGAACCTAAGTTGTCACCAGTGTGCAGGTCTCCACCACCTCTCTCGTGACTCAGGCACTAATCCTTTATACCTTCCTGTCTGAGCAGTGAAAGGGAGAGAGATGGTACATCAGATCATAAGACAAGCACTTCAGTTCCTGTCCTATCCCTATTGATATTAAATTGGAACAAACAGGTCCTGAGGTTAGAAAGTGACTGCCCAAGTTGACAAGTTGATGACTATTGATCAACAGACATGAAAAAGCAACCTATGTAATAGAAAATATTTCCAGTAAGAGGTTAATATCTAAAATACATGGGAAGCTTTTACAACTCAATGGCAAAAGAAAGCAATCCAATGAAAAAACTGACTAAGGAGCTAAACAGGTAATTTTCCATGACAGGTAAAAAGAAGGTGCATTAGGGAAATGCCAATCCAAACCACAATTGAGTTATCCCCTCATACCTCTTCAGATGTTTTAATCAAGAAGATGAGTAAATTCTGACTATAATGTGGAAACAAGAGATCCCATATGCACTGCTGGTGCGAAATGTGTAAACTAGGGTGGCCACTATAGCAAAGGGCATAAGAGTTCCTCAGGAAATTAAGTAGTTCTCAGGGCTAGAGAGATAGTTGGAAGGAAGGGCTCTTGCCTTGCATCAAATCTCAGCTGACCTAGGTTTGATCCAGATACCCCATATGGTATTCCAGGCCTACCAGGAGTGATTCTTGAGCTCAGAGCCAGGAGCAAGCACTGAGCGTTACCAAATGTGGCCCAAACATCCCTCCCCAAAATGACATGAAGTAGCACTCCTGCTGTGTCTAAAAGAAAACAGAATAATCTCAAAGAGATCTGTATTCCTATGTTCATTGCAGTACAAGGTGTAGATTCACAGATGAATGGGTTAAGATTATTACCAATATTATTCAGATTTAGGAGGAAATTCTATCATTCATGGGATTTTTTCCAGTGGATGAAACTGGAGGACATTATGCTAAGTGAAATAAGCCAGATAAAGATAAATGCCACATATCATTAAACATAGAATTATAATTTCATTTTTAAGCAGGTGGATTTTATAGGCACAGAGTGGAAAAGTAGTTTCTAGAGTCTGAGAATTGGGGAGAGTAAGGAGAAGATGGAGGAGGACACAGATTTTTACTTATAAGTGGAGTCAGGTCTAAGGATCTGGTTTGTAACCAAGAATGGCCAGGGTGTGTAGTATTTTTCTTCCTGTAAGTGGTAAGACCAAGTAATTTTGGAAACCTCTGAAATAGAGGATATCTGGATCCTAAAAGGACTTATAGAAGCAATTGGCAGCATCATATAATGAATAAAAATGGGCCTTCCATCGAGGGACCAGTGATCAGAATCAGCCCCACCATGTCTAACTTTGCTTAAACTCAGTTTCCATTTCCTGCAACCTGGGATAGGGACTATCATCATATGGTCTATTGTGAGCATTCAATGAACTAACAGCAGGGGGCAGCATTTATAAATTCAATAAGTATCATCAAAATGTACACTATACTGGTTGACTATGAGAAAAGACTACTATGAGCAAGGCCTCCTTCTGGTCCAGCAGGATTGAGGACAAATTTTAAGGTCAGTTTTGAAGTAGACCATGAAATTTTCATCTCAAAATCAAAAGAGAGTTGATTTTTTCTATTTTAGTCATGCCTGATTATATTCTTGAAGCTAGAGAGTACTGCCCTTTTCTGTACCCAGGTTTAGAGATTTGCCATGGCTCTCTCATTTCCTGAAATGCCCTCTAGTCACTGTCCTTACTCATACTAGGATCAAGGTCCCTGCACATAAATAGGCATAATTAAGTATAAGCAACACATAATCCCAAATTGGTGCAATGCTTTTCTTCCAATATATCAAACAATGATCTTGTAAGTCAGTAATAAAATTCCTTTCATAGGCCAGAGAGATAGTACAGTGGGTACGGGCACTAATATTGCATGTGGCTGACCTATGGTTCCCTAATTCTGCCAGGAATGATCTCCAAGTACAGAGCTAGGAATAAGCCCTGAGCACAGTTGAATGTGAACCAAAAATAAAAATAAAATTCCTTCTATTAAAATGTCCTACGAAGTCATGAAATTTTCTTATAAGTGGATGGACATGGAGAGTATCATGCTAAGTGAAATGAGTCAGAGGGACAGACATAGAATGACTGTACTTATTTGTGGAATATAAAATAGGAGACTAATACCCAAGGACAGTAGAGACAAGGTCCAGAAAGACTGCTCCATAGTTGGAAGCCTGACTCATGAGCTAGGGGAGAAGACAGCTGAGATAGAGAAGGGATCACTAAGTCAATGATGGTTGGAGGGATCACTCGGGGTAGGAGATGTGTGCCGAAAGTAGATTAAGGACTAAATATGATGGCTTCTCAGGATCTGTATTGCAAACCATAATGTCTAAAAGTAGAGAGAGGAAGGGAAGATTATCTTCCATAGAGGCAGGGGGAGGAGTTGAATGGGGGGAGGCATACTGGGGACATTGGTGGTGGAAAATCTACACTGGTGGAGAGACGGGTGTTCGATCATTGTATGACTGAAACTCAAACATGAAAACTTTGTAACTAAATCACAGTGATTTAATAATAAATAAATAAAATTAAATGTCTCTATGGAGCCAGAGATATAGTACAGTGGTTAAGGCACTTGCTTTGCATGTGGTTGGCCCAAATTTGATTCCCCAGCACCCAGATGGTTTCCTGAGCACCACTAGGAGTGATCCCTGAGTACTGAGTCAGGAGTAATCCTTCAGTATAGCCAGATATTGTACTCCACAAATATTTTTCTAGTTAATATCAATGTTGCTATTAACAATATTAACTAAAATTCTGAATCAGGAGACAGTTTCAACTTAAAAGCTAATCAAGCACCGAAGTTGGGGATATGAGACTGAAGGGACCACTCTGAGCCTCAGTTTCCCCAAATGCCCATTGGATATGCTGTTAGGAAGGGCACATAACATGCCACAGGTTTTATAATACTCAACCAAGGAGGGTTCGCTGATGCACTGTCCCTGTGTCCTTCCTGCTCTTCCTTGGGTTGGCACTAACCACCTCTCCATTTCCCCTTCCCTACCTAGGGACCATTGCATATTTAGAGATGTGGAGAAGGAAGATGTATCCCCATCTTCCTTCCACCACGGAAGAGTTATCTGTCACCTTTAGAAGACTTCTCAGTTCTTCAGAGAGCTCCTGGGGGATTTCTGGAAGGTTCCCCTCCCGGATATGGTGCCAGGCATCACCATTGGAGGGCAGTGAGTCTGCACCTGCAGCCACAGCGATTGTCAAAGCCAAGGCAAACACATCTGCTTTGGGCAAGTTCTCATAGTCCTGCCAGACCAGAAGACAAAAAAGTGGTTTAGTCGGCTGGATGGAGGGAGTCACGGCCACCCGAAGTGCAACTGGGAAGAGGAATTCATTTGAGAGTATATGTGCTCCACACACGGCCAAAGCCCTGCCCTGCAGTTAGGGGGTTATACTGGAGAGCACAGCAGAGGCAGGAGCGACCACCTGGTCAGCATCACTGTGCTATCCAGGAAAGGCTAAGGCAGGGTCAGCACCATTTTGCTGGTTCAGGCTCCAAGATTGCTGAAGCATGTGCTGATCTGGTTCTGATTATCACCCTGGAGGAAATGTCCTCAGCCTGACTCCTGCCACCTCCGAAGAGCTGACACAGAGCTAAATTTGATGTCCGTGACCAGAACTGCGAGTGCTCTGCAGAGCATTGAGCACGACAGAGTTGGGTTAGGCCGAGGAAATCTCCTATCTGGGCCAGAAACCCAGCATTTAGGAATTCTAAGTAGTGCTAAAAGCAGTAGAGAATAAGGTAAGTATTTAACACCCCATCAAGCCAGATTTTATCACGTTTTTGGCTTTTGTTTTGTTGTGGGAGGAAGGAGAGTTCGTCCCCTATCATTGGTCTCCATTTTGACTAGAAGAGGGATAATATATTAAGAGATTTGTGTTTTATTGTTTACATTGTAAATCTTCATTTGAGAGAAAGTATTGATGAGTTATTAAAATACCCCCCTCTATGGGGGCAGGAGATAATCCAGTGAGATATGTGCCCAATCTGGGTTTGATTCCTGGCATCCTCTGGTCCCCAGAGCACCACCAAGAGCAACCCTGGTGGCCCCAGCATCTCAAGGGTGGCCCATATATCCCCAGAATTCTGCAAATTCTGGTCAGCCAAGAATCACCAGTAGGGTCCCCAGGCCTCCTGAGCACTGCTTGGGATCCTCCCAGGCCCCGTACCCTGCATTCTCCTAATCTTTACCTCTTGTAAAATCTCATTAGCCAGGAAACGACTGTCACCCTCCTCCACTTTGGGTTTGTTTATTGATGTCACATGACCCAAGTCACCTAAAACATTGAAAAAGTTTTAAAGGGGGAATTAGAGATCTTTGAAAGCACATCTTAAACTCGAAAAAGTGAGGTCATCGGTGTGGCTTTTATAGCATAAGAGTTTCTCAGTCAGGTTATAAAGTAGACTCACCAATCTTATAGATCACATTGGCAGAGAGAAACCAATCGTCTTCATGTTCATTCTCTTCTGGGGCTGCTGGAGAATCCGTTTGCATCTTATGGCAAATAAAGATGTTACCTGATAAAAATATAGACAAGATGCTCAGCTTTTTGCCCTCCAAATATTCCTTCTTACTTTGCACATCCCAGTTTCCCTCCTTTTCTTCTGGTTACATGTGACAAGACTTGGAAGGCTTCTTCATTTAATCACTGTACCTTGACCAGCTCAGTGATGTTACTGAATCAAGTGACACTTGCTTCTTATATTCATTCCCTACCCTTTCAAGAGGCTGGCGACCTCACGACAAAAAAAGTAAACCAAACACCCACATGGTATACTATTGCCTTGAATTTCCCATTAACTGATGCTAAACTCATTCATTTTGGCTCACTTCAGTCAGTGCTGAAGTATAAGTGATACAAAACGAGTCATAAACAAAACCAGGATATAGCTAAAATGTTGTCACTTAATTAAATCCCTATTTCTTGCTTAATCTCATTACCTATGAAAGAGGTTTTCTAAGGAGCCTGGGGGAGATAGTTAAAGTCATTTCAGTGAAAATCTTCTAGGGGAAATCAGTGGAAGGGATTCTGCCAGTGAACAGCATCTTTGACCCTTGCTAGGAATGCAGATATGGGTTCCCATAAGGGTAAGGAAGAGTGACGTAGAGAAAAGGGGCCCAGGGGAGGTTGTACTGACTTGGTTTGATGTCCAGGTGCACCATGCCAGAGCTATGGATGTACTTGAGCCCAAGGGAGATCTGCAGAAGGATGTCCTTGAGTCTCGGCTCTGGGAAATGATTACCCGTCTTCGTGTTTTCAGAGATCGCAGCCTGCAGGCTCCCACCTGCAGAACAGAGAGTGGGATCTTGACTTGAGAGGAGAGGTGCAGCTCCCATAGATGGAAATATGGTAAATGTACATTTCTTCCATGTGAACTCAGCACAATGGGTCTAGATTACTTCAGTAATTATGTGAAGCATCGCTGAATCGAATTCTCCACCTATGACCCAACTACCTAGAGGATGCCACGGCCATTAGGTTTACATTTATACCCAATTGATCGACCAGGAGGTCACTTAGGCCTAGCACTATAGCTCCTACTGGTGTGGATGATTAATTTCATGTCAACGTCAAACCTGCAAGCATCGGCCATTAGTGCTCTTAACGTGATTGATTCTCAGTATTCGTCCATTAAAATCCATGAAATGACTGCTGACCCAAAGAAACCGTAAAGCACACTCCATATGATTTGAGCTACAATATTTGTTCACCATTAAACTATAGACTTACCATTGTTAATTTTTTCTAAGTCCTGGTCTCAGGTCCCTGACAGCCTAAGTTTGGATGTCTCGGGTAGCTACAGAGCTACAGAGCTCAGAATGCTTCTGAGCTCTGTTTCCTATATTAATATTTACTGACAGCCTCTTCAGTTCAATGAGAGTCCTGGATCTCCTCAGCAAAATGTAATGGGTTACAAAGCCATTACATATAATAGCTCCACCCTTTGAATACGTAATAGAATAGGACCTGAGACGGTAAGTATTTTCAGAAATCCACATTTTTAAATATCACATGTGAAACCAAATTTAAGGACTGACCTTTCACCTGACCAGTGCAGAGGGATGGGATGGGGGGGGGGGGGGTCAAGAGTACAGGAGGTCAGGGCACTCGCCTTGCGTGCAATTGACCATCCTATGAATTCCTGGTTCCACAAGTGGGTCCCTGAGCATCACCAGAGGGTCATTCCTGAGGACAGAGTCAGGAATAGCCCCTGAACTCTGCCAGAGTCAAGCTCTACCCCACCCTACAAAATAAAGTTGAGGAAGAAGAAATCAGTCCTTTCAAAAACCTGAGGAGGATTTAAGTCTCCCCCCTTCTTAAATATTTAAAAATATGGGGCTGGAGTGATAGTACAGCAGGTAAGGCATTTGCCTTGCATGCAACCAACCCAGGTTCGATTCCCAGCATCCCACATGGTCCCCCGAGCACCGCCAGGAGTAATTCCTGAGTGCAAAAGCCAGGAGCAACCCCGTGCATTGCCCAGTGTGACCCAAAAAGCAAATAATTCACATGACATAGGTGCCTCTGCTTAGAAGAAAAACAGAAGTAGTCCACTGAAGACCAGTTTGTCACTGAGCTGAGGATGTGTCAGTTGGAGGAGGCGGACTGCATCCCCTGGAACTGACTTTCTCACTTTCTATTACTTTTTTATACTGTACCTTAAAAGCATTAAACTGAAAGTTTATTTTGGTGGTCAAAAAATTAAAATATGCTTCCACTCATGTAACTATTTTAAATGTAAGAGGTAAAATAATGGAAGACGTCAATGGCTTTACTCAGTAAACTTTAAGGAGAGTTGACCTCGGCCAGCAGATGCCTGGTGTAAATTGGAGCTGGCCTTTCATTGTTGCAGCCCCAGTTACTAAAGATATTCTTGTAAATGTTTTTTTCTGATTGTAATTAATTTTTGAAGATGTAGAAAGCTTATCCCCGTGTAAGTATTCAGGATGCCTGCCTTTTTTATGCATTTGTGGAAAGAATGTAAGATGTTTTAATATATTCTTTGTTCATCTGAAAAAAAAAAAGTATTTCTCACTAGCCTGCCATCCTCTTAGGGCAATGCCCACATCTTTCACTGTCCGCTTCCCAAGGTCCAGCATGCAATAAATGTTTTCTGATCTGAATGCCGTGCTTGGCAACAAATGGAGGGAAATGGAGTCAACGACCCCTTTCAAGGTATGGACCCTAGGGGTTCATGCTTCTTCTGACCTTTTATTAGATTTTAAGCAGAGATATTTTTAATCCCCTGAATAGCTACATGTATTTAATGAGGGTTAGATTAGTGGTAGTTTTAATTATTTAGAAACCCCATGGGTAAGATTAAAGGTAGCCAAGTCACAAGAAGAATAGACGTTACCAAAAAGTTCTGCCTGCTGCAATTAGAACATCCTGATTTTGCTATAGCTAGGGCTGCTTGTTCCAGTATAAAGGAACTGGAACGACTGTTCTTTCCTTAAAGAAAACCTACTGCTTAAAGACCTAAAGATTTCTGAGGTTGATCCAAAGGGGACCGGTAGGAGAGGCGCTTGGAAGTGGGAGAGGGAACAATTTTGCATGATTCCTGAATCAGGAGGGACAATAGGGAAATTCGGGCTATTGCTGGTCTCTTATTATAGGCTGTTATCAAAATAACCTACTTCATAATCTGAGTTAAAACCATCCCGGTACATATTCCTGAGCTGTGAAAAGCTAAGGGTACAGGGATAAAGGCAGGCAAAGGAAAGGATTTAGGTGGGGAGGAAGAAGTGTGGAAGACTAAGAAAGGAGAAACGAGACACAGGCTTCATGCTTGGAACTTACTGTCCTTCACTCAGAGCCTCTACACAGTGGCAACATGGATTGTTCAAACAAGGCATGGGGGCCTTTAATTTGCATTCCTTCCCACAACCGGTTCATATTTGAAAGGTTCCATATACATGAGCTGTGTTTCTATTGGCAAATACTTGGTGAAATGAATGGACTGCCAAGAAAGAATAGGCCAGGATTCTCTACAGCCCATTGTGTTGTGTCCAGATCTGCCCTGTGACTTTCCGGGTGCTCTATGATCCCTCCACACTTTACTTTCCTTGGTCTTATTTCCTACTTCAGAACCCACCTCAGTCTTGTTTCTCGTGGTCTGCCAAGTTAGACCCGTTCCCAGGATCATGCTCTTGTGCTTGTTATTCCCCTAACTGCAAGTCTTCCCTTGCTCCCTCAACTCCTTCCCTACCCTCCTACCCAACTCTCGCCTCCTTAATGGAAGTTCTTGGCAACTTTGAGAACATCAGCTGACTTCTTATTCCACATCAGATATGGACACTGCTAGTTCTCAAACTCAACTCTCATAAGCGTTACTTTCTCTCCCTCTTTAATTGCTGAAAGGAAGTGACTTTCCAGGGATCATCTGTCCAGTGAGTGGCAGGCAGGGATTCAAACCAAAGTCTATCCAACTTTAAAGCCAAGCCCCATCCCATGTCCCTTGCTCTGCCCCCCATTCCCCTTCTCTAAATGCTTTCTACTCGTGGTGTTGTCTGGCTTTGCACCAAATTGTTTCATGTATGTGTTCATTTTAACAGGTTAAGTAAAGACCCTGAAACAAATTCTTTAACCTCATTCTCTTCTACTATCTCACTCTGGAGGTTAGTACAGTATTAACTGATTGAAGGTATTCAAATGCAGAAAATAGATATGTAATAGGGACATTACACCTTGTTATTTTTGAATATTTAAAGCCTTACATTGCCCCAAATCAGGTTAAGACTCAGCTTTGTTTTAGTAGTATTGAGTATTAGTAGCTAAAACTAATGGAAATAAAAATGAATCTTTAGGGAATAAGGATAGAGAATCTTAGTTCGCAATAGGATGGAATAAGGAAGAGAAGATAACCAAAAAAGTCTCAGTCTCTCAATCAAAATCCTAATGTTTACCCTAGATTATTAGAAGGGATCTGGGCAGGCCTATTGAGGGAAACTATTGAGATAACTGTTTAAAAAATAAATTTAAAAGACACACAAGGCTCACAGGTTAAGGCTACAGGAGAACTCAGGCAGGCAAGAGAAATAAGGAAAATTTCAAAACACTATCTTGAAAAATGTGTATACCAATTTCTTTTTCTAGTATTTACAGTGTTATTTACTTGATCGCTTTATACCATAAAGAAGGTTTTCTCACTCATCACCATCCTCAAAAATTAGGCTGGACATGAATATTAAGAGCTACCTGACAGTTTCTAAAATTATTTAGACAGGCCAAACTATTCATAGTTATCTCCTAATTGGTGTCCAAATTGTGAGTTGCTTCTCCTAAAATGAGAACAAACATCTGCACAATTTGGTAGCACTTTTCTACCTTCCCACTGAGCATTTTGATGAGAAATATTGCCAGGAACACAGAACACAGAACACAGAGCTGTAGCTCAACCCCTTAATCATACCACACAAAAAGGCCCTCACATTGTGAATGAGTAGCCCATTCAAGTTTTGTCTTGTCCCTATGCATAAACGTTCCTGCAAAACCCCGGAGAATTTGTCTCAACTTAGGCGTTTCTAACCCAGTTTCTAACCCAGGCCCTGCTTTTAAGCTCAATCAGTAAGACACAGCAAGAAGCAGTACTAGTTCCCAAACTCAGAATCCACTTATGACTAAAAAGTTGACTGTAAACCTTTGTCACACTCTCTGCCACCCAAAGGCTACCTAGCCAATAGGACAAGGATGGTTTGCCTTTCTGATCATTGGGGTCAAATTTCTCTGAGTAATAGGTGTGAAGGGAGTAAATGCCTCTCTCTCCCCTTCCCTTCCGGCTCCCCCGCCCCCACGTCAAAAGCAGTATGTGAAGGCATAAAGTTGGAATGTCCACGAGCTCTCTGCCCAGGCCACTGTGTTCAAGCCACTGTTCTACCTGGCACAAATCACAAAGACATGAAAGCTTATCTCTCCAGAGACAGTCACACGCACAACTCACCGTTGCAGTACTCATTCTGAATGATGAGGTGGCCGTCTTCTATCCACGAGGAATAGTAACGGACCACGTGAGGGTGATGGCCCAGCACCGCGTGAGCATACACTTCATGCAAAGTCAAGTTCCTGAGACAGAAAAGCACAGTGAGTAAACAACTGAGAGGAATGTTCAGTCTGGTCCACACCCAGAGCTGCTCCTGCCTTTCCCCGTCTTCATTAACACAAGAGACAGCCCAAACTTAGTAAGAACTTCCCACTTAGCAATACTCCTGATGATCTAAACTGGCAGAAGAGGGGCCGGAGCCATAGCACAGCGGGTAGGGCGTTTGCCTTGCATGCGGCCGACCTGGGTTCGATCCCCAGCATCTCATACGGTCCCCCAAGCACAGCCAGGAGTAATTCCTGAGTTCAGAGCCAGGAGTGACACCTGAACATTGCTGGGTGTTACCCAAAAAGGCAAAAAAATAAATAAAAAATAAACTGGCAGAAGAGTTTTCCATACATGTATTAATTAGCCCCACCAGCCCCCCCGCCCCCCAATGCAGTCAGACCAGTAGTTCAAAGCACAAGATCAAAGAAAATAAGCTATTCTGAAATAATCCTGGAGCATTTTAGGAAAGAACTTATCTCTGGTGGGAAAAACTCAGAAGTTATAAATGTGGGACAACACGTAATGTGAGGGCGGGTTTGCAACACTGCAAATGGAATGTTGTGAATGACATCAGGGCTGTCATTTAAGCACGTCTAAGAGGAAACAGCTTTCCAAAGCCAAATGTGTATTTGAATATGTTTCAAAGTACTCAAATGTTTCAGAAGTACCCATTGGCTAGCCCTAGGCAGGATTCTATAGATCTTTTTATTGCATAAACATACTCACTCATTGGAGAGTCCTAGAGAGGATTCTGTGGATCGTTTTATTGCATAAACACATCCATCCAGTCTCTTAATGCACTTGTAGACGGTACCAAAAGACCCAACCCCAATTTTTTCTAATTCCAAGAATTCTTTTTTATAGCGGTGGGCCATGTTGGTTTCTTGAAGAACACATTTCTGAAATGTTTAATAGAAACTTAAAATTCTTCCAAACATTGTGATAAAAAAATGATATATTTTCCGGTGTGAGGGTGGTGGGAGGGATGCTGGGACCAATGGTGGTGGAAAATAGGTACCGGTGGAGGGATGGGTACTCGATCATTGTATGACTAAAACGCAAGCACAGAAGTTTGTAAGCCTGTAACTGTATCTCACGGTGTATCTCACAGTGATTCACTAATAAATTTTTTTTTAATTTTTTAAATACATTTTCCTAAATTGTTCTTGTTTGGAGGTTCTAGCTCTTAAATTTTCTAAAAGGATTCTGAGGCAAATCCATTGGCATATATAGATTCATGATAGTGAAATCCTCAATTGCTTATTAATTACCTTGGCGATAATACTTTCATGCAAATACTCTCATGCTCTTTATACCCTTCTGCAGAATAAACATGTAACTTCTTGCTGACATTTCCAGTTTCTATATACTGTCTTTTCATATTTTTTCATATTCCTGCCAATACTCCTCTATATTCTCATAGACACATCCCTAGTCACAGCTGGAGCTCCTGGTCGCAAGAGCATCGGAGATCTGGGTGGAGCATGAGAAAGTGCTCCTACGCACACACATTCCACATATACCTGACTCACGCTGGGACCACTCAAATTTTCATCTCGAGTTGAAGGAACATTTGCATTTCCTTTCTTTTCCCCAATAACCTTATTCCAGAGAACAAAGTAATACATACTGTTTCAGTGTATGTGCTCAGATTTATCAGTAACTCCCCCTAGTGGCCAATTAGCAGCATCACTCATTGCTCAGCTAGCGACCAATCTCAATTGAGGCAAATCTCACAAAACCCTTTATCGGTTTTCTCATTTACAAGGTGAGGATCATCGCAACTAATTCCCAGTGTTCAGTGCTTTATATATACACATATACACACACCTACACACCTTTTGTTTACTTTTATATTTAACGTATATTTTAATACACTAACATTTATCTATTGCATATATTATACAATATATGCATGTTATACCATATATGCATGTATTATATAGTTACGTTCTATAGTACATGCAATAGATATTATTTATCTATTACATAGATAGATATATTTATAGATATCTTATGTATCAGAACAATGCACGGTTAATTTCAGTAAATGTTAGCCGAGACCAAAAAAAAAAATCTCAATTGACTTGCTTCTAAGCCCAAGCTAATTTGTCTCTAATGTCATCTTTATCCAATGTTTTCACTAACAGGATAATTTTATCTAACTTTCAGTTTTAACAAAACCTTCACTCTTATTGGCTCTTAGCCAATTCCCATCAATTTTACCAGCATCTCATGCAGTTTTTAATCACCCTTAGCTTGTCTCCAGTGCTGTGTGAGACCTCTGTCCACCTCTTCTCATAGTAAGAATTAGCTTTGCAAAAGATACAATATACCCAAACACGCCTACTTGTTCCCCATAGGAAATCCAAACTTCCAATCAAAGGCCTTCTAACAACTGCTCATGGACCACCTTCATCTCACAGCCCAGACCAGCCAGCTTTCTCCACTTCATTTGCCAGACCATCCTTGCTCTCGCCCTTTTCTACTCTGGACACTGAACAAAGGTGTGTTTTCATAATCGTATTGATGTCTTAATGAAAAATTAATATGCCACTGACTTTAAACTACAATTTACTTGGCCATTAGTACCCTCCACTTTATTCCCATTATAATTATAGCTACAAAATGCCATCTCATGATAATATTGATGAGGTTGTTGTCTCGAGTTAGAGAATCAAACAAAGCATATCAGAGCAAAGATTGTGAACATCAGAAAAATATTGGCTGGATGTGTACCTCAATGAAGAGCAAATACTTTGTATATACGAGACCCAGGGTTCTATTCCCACCACTATATATGTGCAGACACATAAAGGTAAAGGTAAAGGCCCTCCCGTTGATCGTCGATTTGCTCAAGTGGGCCCAGTAACGTCTCCATTGGAGACTTTGTTGTTACTGTGTCTGGCATATCGAATACTCTCGGTAGCTTGCCGGGCTCTCCGAGAGGGGCGGAGGAATCGAACTCGGGTCGGCCATGTTGGCCGCTTGTAAGGCGAACGCCCTACCCGCTGTGCTATCGCTCCAGCCACACATAAATATATATACACATAAAATAATAGTTCATACTATGTGAAATGAGTCAGAAAGAATGACTGCACTTATTTGTAAAATATAAAATAACATAATAGGAGACTGACACCCAAGGACAGTAGACACAAGGGCCAGGAATATTGCTCCCTAATTGGAAGTCTGTCTCAGAGCTGGCAGCTGGAATAGAAAAGGGATCACTAAGTCAATGATGGTTGGAGGAATCGTTCGGGATGAGGGATGTGTGCTGAAAGTGGATAAAGGACCAAACTTGATAGCCTCTCAGTATCTATATTGCAAACCATAATGCCCTGAAGTAGATAGAGACTATGGGGGAAATTGTCTGCCATAGAGGCGGGGGTGAGCCGGAAAGGGGGGGGGGTTATACTGCAGATATTGGTGGTGGAGAACATGCGCTGGTGGAGGGATGGGTGTTCAATCATTGTATGACTGAAACTCAAACATAAGAGCTTTGTAACTACATCTCATGGTTATTCAATTACAAAAAATAGCATTAACAATAAATATTGAAAACATGGAGATGGAGCTATAGCAAGGTGGTAGGGCATTTGCATTGCATGTGGCCGGCCCGACAGAGCTGGGTTCAATTCCTCCACCCCTCTCAGAAAGCCCGGCAAGCTACCAAGAGTATCTCGCCTGCACGGCAAAGCCTGGCAAGCTACCCGTGACATTCAATATGCCAAACACAGTAACAAGTCTCAAAATGGAGACGTTACTGGGCCCGCTGGAGCAAATCGATGAACAATGGGAGGACAGTGCTACAGTGCTATTGACAACATTCAAACTAACATCTTACATATAAACCCATGGCTTCTGTGCCATCTTTCTCTGTTATGCTTTTTCTTTTTGGACTTTAAATATCATGATATTCACTTTTCAGCCCATGAGTATAGAACTTTTCCCCAATCAAAGACAGAAGCAGTAGCCTTCTGTCTGGTCTTCTCCAAGGTACTGATTCAGGTGTGTGTGTGTGTGTGTGTGTGTGTGTGTGTGTGTGTCAGAGGCAAAAAGTATCTATGGAGCTAAGAGAATCTGTGGAGAGTCCACGTAAATATAGCTGCATACCACATTTTCAAGTCTACAAGCTGGGGTAGGGGTGGGGAAGAAGCCATTTGGGTAGAGCTGGATGGAATTACGGGACTCACCTTGGCAGGCAGCCCTTCTTCTGGCTTTCTTTCCCCTGTTTCCTCGTCACTGAAAAAAAATAAATAAAAAGCGCCATCAGCATATAATTAGCACTTATAAAAACTTATGCTATGCTAGGTGAGAGGGGCTACAAGGGAAAACATCCTCTCCTCTCCAGTTCATATTTGAGGATGACTGAGAAAGACAGAAATTCCAAATGACAAACTCAGGATAAGCCCAATAGATCCAGAAAAACCATTAACAGCACCTAATTACTTCACTGTCACTGTCCTCCCGTTGTTCATCGATTTGCTCAAGCGGACCCAGTAACGTCTCCATTGTGAGACTTGTTACTGTGTTTGGCGTATCAAATACATCATGGGGAGTTTGCCAGGCTTTGCCGTGCGGGGGGGTTTGCTGGGGTAGCTTGCTGGGGTCTCCGAGAGGGGCAGAGGAATCCAAGGCGGAGGAATTGAACCTAGTCGGCCAGCATGCAAGGCAAATGCCCTGCCCGCTGTACTACTGCTCCAGCCCTAATTACTTCAAGAGTCAAAAATCCCTTTCCCAAGTGGTTATGTAGCTCAGAGTCCGAGAATGAGTAGAAACCTGTTCAATGAAAAGAACCTCCAGGATTTCAAACAAGGAGAATATACACTAAAAACTGGAGGCAGGTGGGGGAGGGGAGAAGGGGAATAAGAGCAAAGAACTCAGGAGACCCCAGCACACCTCCTCCCTCCCAAGCACCTCCCAACCCCCAAGCTGGCTTTGCATACTGCACTCAGTTCTCAGGTGGACCTATGGAAGAAAGAGCTCCAACTCCAGCTATCTCTAATTATTTTTCAGTAAACAAATCTCTGACAAAGGTTTGGCGCAAACCGTTGAATTTAGGATCTTTAACAAGATTTCAATTTCTAGCTCAGCCAGCTGCAGATTCTCCTTCTGGAGAAGTACAGGGTTCAAGACAGAAGAAGGACATTACAGTTCATGAAAAATTAACTGGGCTGGACATTTGTAACCAGCAATCATGAGCGTTTATAAATCTAAATCTTGACAAACTGAGACAAAAGCAGACCCATGGAATCGCACTAGTTTCCTTAAGATCAGGATCATGTGGAGAAAAAAATCCAGCCTCAAGGTTCATTAACATCTAGTCGATTTGCTCAAAACAACTCAACCTAGCACATCACATGCTCAGCAAACAAGGAGTGTTAGCTGTGCATTTCGTTGCACTCTTGGGCACAAAGGACCTGCCCATTTTACAGGCACTTTGCAAGCATTAAAGAGACAGCAAAAGAATGTTCCTGTGTAACACACGATCCTTATTCAGATTATTTCTAGCCTCACAGCCTTTGTGGAATTGTACCGCTCTCTACCACACTCCCTTCCTTGGTCCATGGTCAGATCCACACTCCAAAAACCCAGTCACACTGGGGCTGGAGTGATAGCAAAGCAGATAGGTGTTTGCCTTGCATAAAGCCGACCCGGGTTCGGTTCCCAGCATCCCATATGGTCCCCTGAGCACTGCCAGGAGTAATTCCTGAGTGCATGAGCCAGGAGTAATCCCTGTGCATCGCCGGGTGTGACCCAAAAAGAAAAAAAAAAAATCCCAGGCACTGACGCACATACCAATCCCCGCGAGTTTTCCTCTTGCCACCGGATTGAAGGAAGAGTTTCCTATAGGACTCCGGGGTGAAGGGGTTAATATTGACCAGAGAAAGGGAGGTCTTCTCATCCTGCAAGGGAACAGGGGTGAACCTCAAATGCTTCGAGCCTTTGGGCAGAAGCTTCCCTGATGGAGAGATCGAGGCTGGATTCAGCCGGCCCTGAATGAGGAAACAAAAGACACATCAGTATGGAAGGAGAGACTGAGAGAGAAATGTCCTCTATCCGCTCTCGTAAGCATATGTGAAGTCCGACCCACTTCCCCTGGATAATTCTGATCACCAGCCCAAATGTCACACTTTCTTCCAGTTTATGTGGATAAGTTACTAGCCCAACACTCATCATAAACAAAAGGTCAATATCCAAGAGATACAAAGTACTTGCAAAGTTTAGCAACAAAGAGAACAGCCCAATGGGAAGAAGGGATGAATAGAAACTTCCTCAAAGACATACGATAGATGGCCAATAGGTATATGATGGAAAAACTGCTCTCCAGCACTTATCAGGGAGATGCAAATACAGACATTGAGGGGGTCACCTCACACCAGTGAGACTGGCATACCTAAAAAGAGAACAAAAGTTACCAGTGCTGGCATGGATGTGGGAAAGAACCTTCATCCACTCTTGATGGGAATGTCAGTTGGTTCAACTTCTTGGGAAAATGTGGACACTTAAAAAAAACCTCAAAAACCCTAAGAATTAAGCTCCCCAACAATTCCACCTCTCAGGATCCACCCCAAGGACCCAAAAACACTTTCAAAAAGTCATTTGTGTGCTTATGTTCATGGCAGCACTATTCACAATAGCCCAAACCTGAAAACCATCTCGGTGTTCCAAAACAGATGAGTAAAGAAATTGCGATCTCTATAAACAATGGAATACTCCTCTCCCACAAGAAAAGATGAAATCAGTTCGGCCATGTTCCTTGGGTTTTCTAAAATGTAGGGGGAAAATTTATGGATGGCTTAGAACTAGTTTTTTTTTTTAAAAAAAAAAAAGAACCCACAGATTCATAAAAAGTTCAGTTCATCTACAATTCAGACGAGAAGGTTAGGGTTTCCGGTAGAAAGTGCCCAAACACAGCGGCTTCTAAAGAGACCTGCTGGCAGGGCCATGGCAGCAACAAGACTCACAGATGTTCCTCTGATGCTCTTAAGTCCCTCAAGCTGAGCCAGCTGAAAGCAAAAGCCGATGTCAGTCCTCAGGCCCACACACCAGGGGCCCATCTGTGGGATGGGACCCAGCCCTCCCCAGCCTTTAACAGTGTGAGTGATGGACCTGAAGACCAATTACAGGGTGAATAAAGGCATCCACTCAGTGTTCGGGACATTCACTTCCTTGCTTAGCTTAAACAGTATCATTCGTGGGGCTGGAGTGATAGTACAGCGGGTAGGGCGTTTGCCTTGCGTGTGGCCGACCCGGGTTCAATTCCCGGCATCCCATATGGTCCCCTGAGCGCCGCCAGGAGTGATTCCTGAGTGCATGAGCCAGGAGTAACCCCTGTGCATCGCCGGGTAAAGGTAAAGGTAAAGGCCCTCCCGTTGATCATCGATTTGCTCGAGCGGGCCCAGTAACATCTCCATTGGAGACTTTGTTGTTACTGTGTCTGGCATATCCAATACTCTCGGTAGCTTGCCGGGCTCTCCGAGAGGGGCGGAGGAATCGAACTCGGGTCGGCCATGTTGGCTGCGTGCAAGGCAAACGCCCTACCCGCTGTGCTATCGCTCCAGCCCGGGTGTGACCCAAAAAGCAAAAAAAAAAAAAAGTATCATTCGTACTTCCAGAAGCCTCTGCAGTCACATCCACACCCCAAAGCTGCCACCCAGTTAAAAAAAAGCTTACTCCAGCCTTACCTTCCCGATAAAAATACTGAACGCCCTGAACAAACACGATGACCTCGGTACCTGCATTGCAAACTATAATGCACACAAGGAGAGAGAGAGAAAGAAAAGTGCCTGCCATAGAGGCAGGCTGGGGTGGGGGGAGGGTTGGATGATGGTGGGAGAGAAACGAGGGACACTGATGGAGGAATGGGTCATTGTCTGACTGAGACCCAACCACAAACAGCTTTATAGTGGTCTAGCTCATAGATATTCAAGTTAAAATTAAATATGTTTTTATAAATAAAAAAATATCATCTGGCTACCTCTTTTCTCACAATTAATGGAACAGCCTGTGATTTTTGGGATCAAAGGAGGGAAAGAGGGGCTGGAGCAATAGCACAGCAGGTAGGGCATTTGCCTTGGGTTAAATTCCCAGCATCCCATATGGTCCCCTGAGCACCACCAGGGGTAATTCCTTAGTACAGAGCCAGGAGTAACCCCTGTGCATTGCCAGGTGTGAGCCTCCCCCCCAAAAAAGCAAAAACAAAAAACAAGGAGGGGAAGAGAGGCAGGAATGTGTTCCAATAGTGAATGGGAACCATGTTGTAATGGGAAATACCAAGAATCACATAAAAACTCAAGCCAGTAGGCATAACAAAAATAGTAATAGGGGCCAGGGCAAGAGCACAGCAGCTCAGATATTTGCTTTGTACGTGTCTGACCACGGTTCAATCCCAGGCACCACATATGGCTGCCCTGAGCTCTGCCAGGAGTGATTCCTGAATGCAGAGCCAGGAGTAAACCCTGAACACCACCAGATATAGTCCAAAAACTTCAGAGAAAAAAAAAAAAGACTAGATTTCTAGCCCTTTGTCTGCAATAACTGAGCTGTAAGAGCATCCCTGGGTTTTTTCCTACCTCCGGAGATCCTGCTCTGGGGGTTAGAACATCAGCACAGAGGGTAGGGTGTTTGCCTTGCACACAGCCGACCCAGGTTCGATTCCCAGCATCCCATATGGTCCCCTGAGCACCTCCAGGAGTAATTCCTGAGTGCATGACCTAGGAATAACCCCTGTGCATCGCCAGGTGTGACCAAAAAGGAAAAAAAAAGACCTCTTCTCTGGATCACAATATTTCTCCCATGGCCAGTATTCTTTCACCCAGAGCTTCTCCCCTTCCCAAGAATTTATCTGTGGTCCCCATCCACAGCTGCAGGCACCCCCAGTTTTGAGAAGACAGCTGACTATACACAGGACTCAGTTTTTTGGTACCCTGAAGCTTTGGTTCGTGTTTGTTCACCGTGATGGGGGAGAGACAAAGTTGGTGGGCAACACCGCCCAGGAGCACCACTCCAATGCGCATGAATGACAAGTCCTTGCTCTCTCGGTCACCAGAGCCAACGGGACACCTGTGGGGACCCACGTTCCTCCTGTCCCACCCTTACACTTACTTTGGGCGTGAAGGGGCTGCCACAGGGCAACGGGTGGCTCCTTTTGTCGGGCGACGCTGGCATTTCTGGCCCTCGACGAGGATCTGACTCGGGGGTCCGCAGAGCCGGGTCTGGGCTGCCTTGAGCTGCGTCAGACTCCGGGGCACTGCTAGGGGGGGTCCTGGGTGGAGTGCGGACTGCCTCAGGCTCGCTGGGGGACTCCCGGCTCTCCCTGACCTCCTCCTGCTCCTCTCTCTTGCTCTCCTCTTCACGAGGATCAGACTCCGGTGCCTGCTTCAGCTCTTTGCTTGTGCCGCTGTTCTCCATGTCTGCCCGGGGGAGCGTGACAGGCCTGCAGGAAGAAGGAGAGAGAAAAGAGAAGGAGCACGAACGTGATGTGGGCAAGGCCCCTGCTCACTGCCCTCTCTCTCGGCCCCCGTGGGGAGGCAACTTAAGTACCAGCGCGCCTGTCTCAGATTGTCCTCATCTCTGCCCTGATTAAAGAAAGTTGGTCACTCTCGGAGCAATTGACACCCACTGAGGCAGAGAACTTCTCTGCACCCCACGCCAGGCACTGCAACAGAAAAGGGAGCCTGGTGGGCTAATTTGCAACTTGTGGCCGAGCTTTGAATACCTCCGCCAACCAGTTGGGAAACAGGATCGTCACTGGGAAGAAATCTACCCAACTACCAGCCTCTCCTCTCTCCCACTCTCTCCACTGGCTCTCGGTGGTGAATTCGGATCCAGCCTCACCTGCATTCCCTATGGACCTCAGAGGCCCTAAGACATTTAAGCTGGAGCGCACCCGCCACGTGGAGACGGATCCTTGCCAGCTGCGCCAACACACCTGCAGTTCATTAAGCATCGCACACGGCCCCGGGGAATCTGCAGTTCCGTGCAGGCTATCATGAAATCAAGCTCTCCACTCTCCTCCATCACCTACCCCCATGGAGAAAATCAAACCCAGGGCTTCACACATGTAAGGTGTGTGTTCTGTGGCTGAGCTACATTCTCAGGCCCTCAAATTTAATTTTATTTGCTTTTTTTGTTTGTTTGCTTGGTTTAGGGCCCAGCCCCAGTGATGTTGCGGGGTTACACCTGACCGTGTTTGGTGTTCTTCTCCAGTGCTGGGGGATTGAGCCCAGGCCTCCTACCTATAAAGTGTCTGTTCGACCCTACTGAGACATCTCTCTGGCCCTCAAACTCAGTTTTATTTTTTAGTTGCTTTTTATTTAGGAGAGCCCAGCAAGCTACCAAGAGTATCTCGCCCACACGGCAAAGCCTGGCAAGCTACCCGTGGCGTATTTGATATGCCAAACACAGTAACAACAAAGTCTCACAATGGAAACGTTACTGGGCCCACTCGAGCAATGAATGAACAATGGGAGGACAGTGCTACATATTTCCAATAGTGTTAGTTTCCGGTTGTGGTGTGCATAGTTACCACCTCGCCACTGTCAACATGCCTAAGACTCTCCGACAACATCCTTGTGTTATTTCCAGCCCATTCCCACCTTCCACTCACTTTGTAATCTCAGTTCCGTAATCCAGGGCTGGGAGTTTGTTATCTCTGATGAGGGTCTGTTCCCTCATCAAACGCAATTTTAAACTGATGTGAGGAAAGTGAGAAAGACCCATGGCATACTGATGCCAACGTATCGCTTGGAAATGGCGAGAACTTGCGCCCCTAATATTCTGCAAACCCACTCTGGCCCCATATTTTGTAAACACAAATTTTCTTGCCCTTAAGAACATATACGTTCTTCAGTTCTTAGGGATGTCTCTATTGCGAGGGCAAAAACAAATGCTTTGCAGGGCAGTAAAAACTGGTGATAGTGGGCCTGTAGCCCAAACAGGGTAACAGGAAGCTCACACAAACAAAACAAACACTGTCCTCCCGTTGTTCATTGATTTGCTCAAGCGGGTCCAGTAACGTCTCCATCGTGAGACTTGTTACTGTGTTTGGCATATTGAATATGTCACGAGTAGCTTGCCAGGCTTTGCCGTGCGGGCGGAGATATGTAGCTTGCCGGGCTCTCCGAGAGGGGCAGAGAAATCAAACCCGGCTCTGCCTGGCTGGCTGCGTGCAAGGCAAACTCCCTACCGCTGTGCTATCAGGAAACTCATGAGGAGAAAAATGGGGAGCACCTCTGTCTACACTCAGGAAGACTCTGGCGGCACCAAGGGTGTCGGTCCCCGTGAGCAAGGTAGGTGGGCCAAAAGGGAGAGGCATGCTGGGAGGCACGGATTTCCTTGAAATGAATTTGAATCCCAATTGCCTTCTCTTAGGACTCAGCCAGTGTCGCCCTTCTGCCCTTTTCTCTCTTCCTTTCCCATTTCAACCTGAACTCACGAGGGCCATCAGCCAAGGGACATTCCCGGGGGTGGCTGTCACAGCAGGAAGTCGTGGGTGAGTCCAGCTTTGTGTCCATAGCTCACACCCCACTCCCAGTCCTGTATCTCCCCCGGGAAGCCAACACCACACCCACAAACATGCACGCATGCATGCACAGGCACTCACGCACACGCGCGCACGCACACACACACACACACACATACACAGATGCACGCATGTATGCAGTGATCCCTGGGCATCCTCTGTTGGACTCTGCCTGGGGAAACCCCCACAGGGCATGACTTCCTGGGCTGCGCGGAGGGTCTGAGCTTGCAGGGGGCAGTGGTTCAGGTCTGTGTGCTGGCGTCCTCCCTTCTCTCATTTGGGGGCACTCTTCCCCTCCCAGTTAAGTCTCATCCTCTTCCTCTTCCTGGCCCATTGGAACTTGGCTTTGTGCTCCAGGACCCAAGTTGGAGAGTCCCAGCGTGACACACACTAACACCTACCAGACTGGGGTTTGGAGGGGGGTGTTGGGGAGCTTGGTGAGGGGACATCTGGTAGTACTCAGTCTTGCTATTCATGTCCTGCACTTAGGGCTCATTCCTGGTGGTGCTCAGGGGACGATGTAGTGCTATGCAGTGTTGAACCTGGGACTCTTGCGTGCAAAGCCTATGTTCCCACCTAGAGCATGCTCAGTCCCCACCTGCTTGGGCTTTGACCCAGTCGCCTACTCTTCCCTCCAACTGATCGACTGCCCTATGTGGTACTGTGGGCCCAGGGAAGCCTGTGACCTGTCCTAATTCTTTGAGAACCAGGCGCCACCACTTCCCACGTGTTGACCCTCAGCACAGGCATGTGGCTCAGTGTCCCTGTCATGAAAGTATCACTTTGAAACAGCAGCCAGAAACACTGTTGGTTGGGAAACAGAATCCTGGGAATTGGGCAGCTGGTGACTAAGGCGGACGGAAGCTTCCATGGAGACACACACTTGGCTGCTGCCTCCCCCGCTGCCGGCCACTCTTGTCTCAGTGTCTCCTGCTTTTCTTTCCCTTTGTTCACAGTTGTTCCACATGCTGGAAAATTCCACCTTGGCTCTGGTGCACGCTGACACTATGGGCACCCATGCCAGGCATAGAGCTTCTTGGCACCCCTGTAGCACTGTCCTCCCGTTGTTCATCGATTTGCTCGAGCAGGGCCAGAAACGTCTCCATTGTGAGACTTGTTGTTACTGTGTTTGTCATATCAAATATGGCACGGGTAGCTTGCCAGGCTTTGCCGTGCGGGCGAGATACTCTCGGTAGCTTGCTGGGCTCTTTGAGAGGGGTGGAGGAATCGAACTCAGGTCGGCCGTGTTGACCACGTGCAAGGCAAACGCCCTACCTGCTGTGCTATCGCTCCAGCCCCTTGCCACCCCAGTGCTCCCCAAATGACGAGCACGGAATCTGAGCAAGACAGGGGGTGCATGCACCTTTCCAGGAATCTTATGTATCCCCACCCACGCCGTCAAGTCAAGTCCCCACCTTAAAGACCAACCCCCTGAGCATTTCTCCCCACATACAGGGGCACAACTATCAGCTGTATGGATCTGGGGGTCAGGGTATTAACAAGGGCAGATCTGAGAAGACGGGGAAAGGGGATTACACTGAGTCCTGTAAAGTGCGCGACTCAAAATTTAAATAGCAATTGTTTTTTTAAAAGTTTCATATCATGGTGGGAACCATGTGTCACATAGACCTGAACCCACACCCCCTCCTGCCCTCCCTAGGTTAAACAGGTCTGGAGTAGAGGGGGAGTGGAGTGAGGATAAACATGTACCAAGGTGTGACTCTACTTCCAAACTTGACACAGTATTACCAACTAATGGGAAACCAGCAAGAGGTCACCATAAAATTGTATTTATTTATTGTTTTGGTGGGCTGGAGCAATAGCACAGTGGAAGGGTGTTTGCCTTGCATGCAGCCAGCCCGGCCAAGCCAGGTTCAATTCCTCTGCCCCTCTCAGAGAGTCCAGCAAGCTACCGAGAGTATCTCACCCGCACGGCAAAGCCTGGCAAGCTACCTGTGAAGTATTCAATGTGCCAAAACACAGTAACAACAAGTCTCAAAAAAATGGACCCGTTGGAGCAAATCGATAAACAATGCGAGGACAGTGTGACAGTGGGTGATTGTTTTGGTGTGTGGGACCACATGCAGTGGTGCTGCTGGAGGACTCCCGGTTCTGTGCTCAGGGCTTGCTCCCCACAGTGCTTATTGGTGCCAGGGATTGAACCTGAGCTTCCCATATACAAAGCACAAAACCAGCAAGTGGACCTCACTCTTCAGTGCTAAAACATATTTTGAAAGGGTGGATCCAAGGAGCCTCATCAGTTCAGAGAAATTGTTCCCATAAGGGCCAACACATGTTCAGAAAATCATTTGTGACTGGAGGACTAAAAGTAAGATACCTTGCTTTTATTTAAATGCTCAGTGCAGAAGAGAGTACAGCGAGATAGACCTTTCATATGACCATTCATTCAGTGGTTCTGCCCCCAGCAATGGCATATGGTCCCCTGAGCACCACCAGGAGCAAGCCCTTAGTACTGCTAGGTGTGACCCCAAAACAACAAGAAGTTAAAATACTTAGAGGCTGGAGAGAAAGTACAGGAGTTAAGACTCTCACCTTGCTTGCAGCCAACTTGGGTTCAATCCCGGCACCACCGAAGGGTCTCCCAAGCCCTGCCAGGAGAGATCCTTGAGTTCAGAGCCAGGAATAATACCTGAGCATTGCCAGGCATGCCCCATACCCTACCCACCTCCAGATGAATTTAAATACTAAGTATTTGACTTTCCAAAGACTTGGTGTTTGGGAGTGCTGGGGAGATAACTTAGCAAAGTGAAAAGAATGCCTTACATGAAGGAGGCACTGAGACTGATCCTGACTCTTCGTGGCCCCACCCAGCTCCATTTTCTATAGCCCTGTGACCCCTGTATCCCTGCTGGGCAGCCCTGTGGAA